TGATAGGTCATTGGCCGTCACTGCGTCCGCTAGTTTCTTTGGGCATTTATTTATGAGCTCTTGGCATCTGGCGAAGGCAAAGCGTCTTCTTTCTGTTCTGTTTGGAGGCCGCGCTTTCGATTTCCTCCTATTAATTTCCCTTGGCTGTTTACTCTCGCATTTTTGGTCATTCAATTCCTTTGCTAGATCATCGCACAGTCGCTCAACTTCTTTATTTACGCTATCTTTGTTCGCTAGGGCCACTAGTATTGCGGTCATGGCTGTCCACCTGCTTGGTACTGTTTGTTCCTTATTTATCATTTCCTTTATTAAATCCTTCCAAACGGACGAGGTGGTTTCCGGCTCGTCTATTGCTTCATGTCTTTGGGTCTCTGTATCGTGTTGCGCCGGGAGAGCGTGTATTGCCTCTGTCTCAGCATTTTCGCCTTCAGAGTTTTCATTCTCTGCGTGTTCATTTATTGGTGACCGGGGAGGAGCCCGTCGGACTTTCCGACGTCTTGCGTCGCTTATCTGTTTATTTGTCTTATCGGGGAAGAACTCCATTAGTTTTATGTTTATGTTCTTCGATTCCCGAAATTCGGCACTCAGTTGTTCGAGTCTTTCGAGCTCCTCCTCTGTCCAAACTGTTAGTTTCCTACCTGCCCTCTCGGTAGGTTTTTCAGCCAATTCCGCTCGTTTGGCGTTTCGGCTTTTGGGATGAGCGTGCCGCTCGTGCTGAGACAGTCCCGACGCTGTATCGAATGTTCTTGGGCATTCCAGGCATTTGTGTGCCCTCTGCGTATTATCTATTTCCCCTTTACACTTGGGGATGTGGCATCGCCACGCATGTATTTTTGGAAGGATTTTATGGCAACTTTCACACATCCATCTTACCGAAATAGTTGGATGTTCTTTGGAAATGTGGTCATTTAGCTGTTTTGCACCCAAACAGTCGATATTTTGGCCACTTTCCAAGCATACTGGACAACTCATGACCGCATTAATCTCTCCTTGGATGGTCAAGGGCTCGGTATCCCTAATGGGTACCGGGTCCCACATGTGTTCAGGTGACTCCCTTAGGACTTGAGAGCCACCTGCACTCCTCGCTTCACATCCCCTTTCGGCAGTGTGAGTCTCGCCCGAAGTGGAGGCTAAGACTTGGTCAGGCCGGTCCCATCGCTTTCTTTGTGACGGCGTCCGTAGGACCCGCTTTGCGCAGACGCCGGCATCGCCTCTTCGCGCTTTCGCCACATAGGCAGCGGAGTTGATCTCGCCAGAAGCGGGAACAAGATCACCCGCCTCCGAGGCTTTATTATTATTTGTATCTGTCATATTTGTTTATGCTCCTTCGAACAACGTCGTGTTGAGCTTCACGACGATGTAGCACTTCTGGGCTGCTATCACCCCCGTGTTTCATGGTAGTCGAGGGACCCGGTTCTGCTTTCTGCCAAGAGGCTGCTTAGCTATTTATTTGGCTCGTTTATTTGTATTCACAGCGAACGTCTTTTGGATGTTGATTGAGCGGCGATGTTACTGTTCGTTTTGAGGCTTCGCCTTAGAGGTTCCTATTTTCGCTTTCCTCTCGGCCTTTGCGGCCTATTTGTTATCCCTGATTTAACCCGCTTTGTCACGGGCGCCGATACTCCGTTAGCCCTCTCCGGTGTGGCTCTATCACCGGAAGAGGTTTCCAGCGGGACCTACGAGGAGGTGGAGTCGACTTGGCTATTGAGAGGCTATGTATTCGCTTCAATGCCAAGTAACCATGACTCTCGTTGCTTTCCGGGTGTTTGGGAAGCCAACCGCCCCCGACCCAACTCGCCAAGCACTTGCATGACGCGGTTTTCAGGCCGCATGGATCCACGAATCCACACAACGGTACCCAGCCCGGCGCACTGGACTTCGTAAAGCCAGGACACCTGACATACCTTCGCTGCAAGGGCACCTCCTCAGGATGGCATATGTCTAAACTTTCAGCCTCCTTCGGGTCAGCTTGCAGTATAGACGCGAACGCCTAGAGTGTGAGCTCAGAGTGGGTCTGGGAGCCCGTGGTCCCAAGTCCACCCCTGCCCCGACTGAGCCGTTGGTCTGTTGTGCGCTGCCCGGGACAATCCCAGGCACAATGCTTGGTTCGTCAAATCAGTGGCGGACGGCAGGGAGAAAGTTAACAGCCTGTTCCCTTAAGAGAGTCATAGTTACTCCCGCCGTTTACCCGCGCTTGCTTGAATTTCTTCACGTTGATATTCAGAGCACTGGGCAGAAATCACATTGCGTCAACACCCGCGAGGGCCATCGCAATGCTTTGTTTTAATTAGACAGTCGGATTCCCCTAGTCCGTGCCAGTTTTGAGCTGAGCGTTTGATGGCGGCCGAAGAGGACGACCGCGACAGCTCGCGCCGCCGCTGAAGCCTCGCAGCAAGGAAGATCCGCGGGAGGCCAAGACACGGGACCGAGCTCGGATCCCGGTACCGGCTCGAGAACGCCGAGCGTTCACCTCGCCCAGGCCCGGCACATCAGCCAGACCCGCTTCCCGACCAAGCCCGACACGCCCCGCTCCTCAGAGCCAATCCTTATTCCGAAGTTACGGATCCAATTTGCCGACTTCCCTTACCTACATTAGTCTATCGACTAGAGGCTCTTTACCTTGGAGACCTGCTGCGGATATGGGTACGAACCGGCGCGACACCTCCACGTGGCCCTCTCCTGGATTTTCAAGGTCCGAGGGGAAGATCCGGACACCGCCGCAACTGCGGTGCTCTTCGCGTTCCAAACCCTATCTCCTTGCTAGAGGTTTCAGGGAACTCGAACGCTTATACAGAAAAGAAAACTCTTCCCGGATCTCCCGACGGCGTCTCCAGGTCATTTTGGGTTACCCCGACGAACACTCTTACGAGGGCCCGAATTGTATGCGGTTCCGCTGCGCAGCGTGGTAACTGCTCTACCGAGTACAACACCTCGCCAGGTACCTAATCGTCTACAGACGATTCCGAGTCTCGACATCGAACTCGCGAAACTCATGTTCGACCGATAGACGCCGTGCCGTCGCACAGTGGGACGAGAAGTTCATTTTGTGATTAAAATTCGAGCCGTGCGCCAATTCTTAACGGATC